CAGTATCTAGCTTGACTGCACATTTTTAATTGTTTCTTTGGCAACACTTCAGTAAACTAAGGGGCTAAATACAGAGACCTATATACTTTCTTGTTTTGTTTTCTGTTTCTATAGATTGTGAGCCAAACATGGCCAGTTGGTGGGAGGTGGGAATTTACCCATTAGGGTTATTTAATCTGGCTTCTGCTTCTGTACTTTGTCTCCCCTCATCAGATCATTCTGGTGGAGGGACACCCTATTCTCGAGAATAGGAAATAAAAATAAACTTTCTGTTCCTAGAGAAACCTCTAAGTGTTTTTTAATTTGAGTGCATCCCACACACATGTAAAAGCTCTTAGGCTAAGGGAAGGAGTTAGGCTGGAGGCAAAGACTGTGAGTCCCTGCAGGCATGGAGGAAGGAAGAAGAATGTCTCTGGGGTTGGCAAATAATACTTACCAGAATCTTGAGTAGGTGATTTATTGGGTTTGAATGAATGCTGGAGCAGGAGAGGTTAAAGGTGGTAGAGGGAGAACCTGGAAGTGCCATTGAGGAAGGAGGAGTATCCCTGCTTCCCTGACATAGCTAGTGAGTAAAACTGCAAACAATCCTGGGAACTGTGGTCAGAGATTCCATATTATCAAGAGGGAGGCAGGGCAAAGTGAATGCCAGAAGATGGAGGGAAAGAAAAAGGTTCAAGATGAGTAGTTTATTAAGTGATGCAAAGACACTCTCAAGGTCTCTCTGAAGAACCTTAGTATCAGTTGTGAGACTTGGACCACCCAACGTGGCTTGCCTGCATCAAAGAAGGCACTGGCCGCTATGAGCAAGGCAGAATTGCTGTAGCTCAGAGGAGAAATGAGATACAAAAACGTAGATATGTCCACTCCCAACGTTCCCACAGATTGTTTGTGCCTGATCTTCGGCAGTGCAACCTGAGCTCCTATTCTGACTGCCCACAGAAGGCAGAGAGCTGGCCTTTAGGCCAGGAAGACCTGGGTTCAGGATCCACTTGGGACACATCCCAGCTGTGTGATCTCGCTCAAAGCATTTTACCGCACTGTGCTTTAGGGAGTGCTTGCTCAGAAGAAAAGCTGGCAGAGAAGACACCAGCCTGCAGTGCTGCAAGGAGCTTCCTCACCTGGGACTTGCCAGGTGATGCCAGTGAAATCACATGTCCTGGCCCTGAACTCAACATTGCATGTCTCTACACATTCATCTAAGTTGTCTCATGCTTAGACTGCTCTTTCCCCATCTCTGCTTCTCACAATCCCGATCTTCATCCAAGAGTCGGCTGGGGCCAACTGCTCCATGAAGCGCGAATAGAGGGAAGGACACATTGCATTCTCCCTAGTGGAGTGGAAGCTCCCTGAGGGCAGGGATGAAATTGTTTTCCTTTGTATCCCCAGCACCTGGCACAGTGGCCTACCTATAGCAGGTGTTCAATGAATTTTTGTTGAATAGTTTAATGTCATGTAGCCAAGCTACCTGCACGTATCATCTCTACCCTGTACTAGTAGGGATCACCAGCTGGAGGCTCATACTGTGTTAGAAAAATCTAAAGCAAAAATCCACTAAAGTTAGTGAATGAAGGAAATCCTTTATTATACTTCTCAAGAGAAGAAGTGGGCACAATGCACTTTGGTAGCATGTGGGCACTAATTCAGTGGTACAATCAACTTTTAAGCCGTTAGTAAGATCCATACTCCACCCACCAGGGCCATGGTTGGTCTAGTTTAGCTGAATTACACCCTTCCTCCAAAGCCCATCACGTGTTAGTCCATGTTCTTCCTTTTCATGTTAGGTCATGCGACCCATGATAAAAATTGGCAGCTATCTCTGTCCTCAGGATGTGTCAGTTAATATTTAATAAGCTTATTAAGCAAGTGAAGTGGAGAAAAGCCTTTGCCCTATGAAGGCCCTGTCCTTCACCCCAACGGGTTGCAGCCAGTTTAGCCTCCAGGGCCCTTTCTTAAGGAACTAGTTGTTTGCAGAATATGTGGGGCACTTTCTGATTGGTTGAGGGGCTATCCACAAGATCTTGGAAGTCCTCAGAATCCTCTTGTTCTGTTATGGAAGCCTAACTTGTAATCATTTCTCACAATTCCCCCCTTTTCTTTTCTAGTAGAGATTTGGCTTGCACACATTCCCAATTTCCTTATCCTCTAATCTCTTTAACATGGCTTCGAAATCTCCATCACTGCAGGAAGTCTCACTGGTACTTTCAATCACTATCCTTATGTTGCCAGAGTCTGCTCTCTGAACTCCCACTGTGGGTGCTACTGGCATAATCTTAGTGAGGGTCGTCTCTATCAATCGTCGCACCAGTCCTCCAATGCATGGAGCTATCCAACATCCTACAGCAGTTGATACTCCTGAACGGATACAGCCATTCCTTCCATTTGCCAAACCGGGATTCTAGTCATAACTTTCATAAATTACCTATCCCAGAGTTCTCTGCCAACTCCTCAGTTACAGTGGTTATACATTGCAATGCCTTAGCGATGGTTCAGTCTGGGGCTCTGCTGCTGGGCAACATTTCATCAGGAGATTTGGGGGACTTAAAACAATATGGAAGAAGGAAGGGAGAAACTGACCAATGCCTTGACAAATTAAAAAGGGGGCAGTCCTATTATTAAGTACAGATACAAAGACCCAAAAGTAATGATAAGTCGTCCATTGAAAGCTTCAGAACTCTCTTCTCATACAGCTGTCCAACACTCTGGACATCATCTGGTGAAGTCTTCTGGTCTAAGTGCTGTTCAAACACTGCCCAGCACACTCTCTTCTTGTAGAGATCCCCCTTCTTGTGTCTACTGGCCTACAACATAGATCTCAACACAATTTTTTAATTACCTTTCCAATAATCACGGCAAATGATGAAAGTTAACTCAACTCCCATGTCTCCACCATTACAAGATCAAAAGTGGACCTTGGCCAATTGTGATATTTTAAGAAACTCAAGTTGAAAAAATTAGAACCTAGCCTTACACTCTGCATTACTTTTAGTTTTATACCTTGCATTCATTCAGTAGTCTTTCCTTTTCATCAGGAGGATGAGATTCCACTAAAGAATTAACAACAGACTCCAATCCATAGTAGGTAATTTAAAACCAGTCCATAGCAAATGCTAAAACAATCCCAACTTCTAGCCATGTACAAATAAACAATCCTTAATTAAAATGGGCACTTCTCTCAAGGCATTTATCAGTCACAAGTTATTTTTCCTTTGAGATTGATTAATTGTAACAAACTGAGACAACTTTAATATTAAGTAAGTATTAATGAAGTAACAGAATAATAGCCTGGTTCCATAGTCTCGTGAGCTGATTACTCTCATAATGATGGGGTATGGGCTCAAGCCAAAACCTTTGCCTCTTGTCCGCAAAAGATCTGGCTCCCATTTGTCTATGGGCCCCAGAAAACCCTTACACTTCACTCAACTGGTCTATATGGTTTATCTCCAACAAACTTCCCCCCTGGTTGAAGGAAGACCTGGGCTGAACTCCTTCAGGCAGGGTCCTCATGGGTCATCTTTTTCTCTTTAAACTGTGGTATAATCTGGTTGGGGAAGTCTCCAGGAGATTTCCTCTGCAGGGGAAAACTTCCTGGCTCTCAGACCAAAGGAGCTAGGCTTAAATACTACTTCTTTTTTTAAAATTTAGTTTATTAATTTATTTTGATTTATCATTTTATTTTGAGTTTAACATTTTTCTCCTCATCCCTCCCACCACTCTCCCCAACATGGCACACAATCTGATATGGGCTATACATTTGCATTCCTGTTAAACATATTTTTACATTAGTGATGTTGTAAATAAAAATTAAAACCAATAGGAGGAACCATCAGAAAGAGGAAACAAAACTCAACAGAAGAGAAATAAACAGATAGCAATTCAACTTCCATAGTTCTTTCTTTGGATGTGGGTAGCATTTTCCATCACAAGGCCTCTAGAGATGTCTGAGATTCTTGTATTGCCAAGAAGGGTTAAGTTCATCAATATTAGCCATCGCACAACCTGGCTGTTATTGTGTACAATGTTCTCTTGGTTCTGCTCACTTCACTCAGCATCAGACCATACTAGTCTTTCCAGGTTTTTCTGAAGTCAGCCTGTTCATCACTTCTTATACCACGATAGTATTCCATTACATTCATAATGTTCAGCCATTCCCCAATTGATGGGCATCCTCTCAATTTCCAATTCTTTGCCACCACAAAAAGAATTGCTATGAATGTTTTTGTCCATGTGGGTGTTTTTCCCATTTGTGTGATCTCTTTGGGATATCACCCTAGAAGTGCTATAGCTGGGTCAAAGGGTATGCACATTTTTATAGCCCTTTGGGCATAGTTTCAAATTGCTCTGCAAAATGGTTGGATCATTTCACAACTCCACCAACAATGCCTTAGTATTCCAATTTTCCCACATCTTCTCCAGCATTTATCATTCAATCCCATTTCTAATGCAGAGTACCAATGGGACCTTGGGGCATCACCTAACTTTCCTGGGCCTCAGTTTCCTCATTTGACACATGTGGGTTTCTGAATAAGTGGCACCAATCCTATAAACCAATGCAGGTCAGCATTAGGGGCCAAGATGAAGCCATTTGCCCAGGGTCTCACAGCCAGAGTGGTCAGCGGTCCCCAAATCTCCCAGCTGTCTCTCCACTAAACTGGGGCCATTCTGTGAGGAGAGGGGGTACAGAGGTCTTTCCTACTTGAACTAGGAAAAAATCAGGGGCAGAGAATGGGGGAAAGAAGGGGAGGGAGGGGGATGGTTTTTGGTTTCTCCTGCCCCATCACACCCTAGACAGACTGAGGCCCCATTTGGGTAGAGTGGATGGTATTTTTGAGTCTCAGTGAATACTTCCAAATGCTTCCTGCCACCCCTCTTCCAGAATCAAGGCACAGGGGTATGGTGGGGTGAGGTAAGGAGCCATTTTGTTTCAGGTCACTCTAGTAGCAAAATGGTTCAGGGGTCTCTCAAGATCTTAACGGGTCACAGAAAGGCCAGAGGCCCTCAGAGTGGGGGGAGGCACCCCCACAAGGCCAGGAGCAATCCAACTCTCATTCCCCAGACTTGCACTGTGGTGGCAGAAACCCTGTTAGGGGAGCTCTGGTCCTCAAATTTCTTTCCTCGGCAGGTCTCATTCACAGCAATGGGCCCAAAAGCCTGGGTTTTTCCCAGTAGACTACAGCCTGTGACAGCTTCGGTGGCGCAGCCCTGGATGCTCAAATCGGTTACAATCCCTCCTGTTCCCAGACAGACATAGAAAGAGCTCTCATTGTGGAACTGGGGACCCAGAAGTCCAGATGCCCCAGTTACCCCCCGCAGAGACCCAGGAGTCTATATCCCCCAGTTACCATCCCCCAGGGACCCAGGAGTCCAGATCCCCCACTTACCACCCCCCCAGAGACCCAGGAGTCTATACCCACCAGTTACCACTCCCCCAGAGACCCCCTAGGGACACAGGCTTCCAGATTTCACACCTTGTAGCTCAGATCTCCCAGCCCTCCTGATCCCCTGACCCCTGCTTTTTCAGGGTCCCAGGTGTTCTAATCCCCCAGCCCCAGCTCCAGAAGGAGCCAGGTATGGTCTCACCTCCACTGAGCCTGAACACTCCCTGGTAACACTGGGAAGTACCCTCAGGGCAAACGGAAAGCTTGGGGTTTAAACAGGATGATCCCAAGGCCACACACGTTGGACACTGGAAACCATCAGGGGCGGGAGCAGCTGTGTGTGGAGGAAGTGAGTCAGGGGTTTGTTGGGGGATCAGGGGTGCCCACGGTTTCCCCTCTGCTCCCTCTGTCTCTGTCTCTCTCTGCAGCCCTCTGGGTCCCCTCATCTTCGTGGTGATTGTCACAGAAAGAGCCGAGGATCTGCTTCCTCATCTTGACTCTGGTCTTCTCTAATCTGTGTGACTCCTTCTCCTTAGAGCAACACTTCTAAGATGGGAATAAATATCTTTGTTTCAGGGTAGCTTGGTGGTGCAGTGGATAGAGCACAGGCTCTGGATTCAGGAGGACTTGAGTTCAAATCTGCCCTCAGACACATAACACTTACTAGATGTGTGTCCCTGGGCAAGTCACTTCACCCAACTGCCTAGCCAAAAAACGAAAAAAACCTCTTTGTTTTTTTAGCTTGTGGTTGTGAGGATTCAGTAATGATGTAGAATGAATGTGAAGCATTTAGAGTGCTGTAGAACAGAGGATGTCAGAGCTGGGAGGGCCCTTAGGACAGGGAATGTCAGAGAGCTGGTAGGGGCCTTAGGACAGAGGACATCAGGGCTGGGAGGGGCCTTAGGACAGGGAATGTCAGAGAGCTGGTAGGGGCCTTAGGACAGAGGACGTCAGGGCTGGGAGGGGCCTTAGAACAAGGACCTTCACCTTCTGCCACCATCTTGTCCCCTCTTTCTTTATCTCTCTGGCCCCTTTCCTTCTCTACTCCCCTCACCCTTTCCCGGCTCAGGGTACCTGTGGGTGGTCGGGAGCGCCACAAAGGGAAGCTGGAGCTGAGGTTGTTGCAGAGGTCAGAGTGGCACACGTGGGTGTAGGAGATGATGGTCACTCCCGGGGGCCTTCTGTGCCAAGTGTGGAGAGGTTCCTGAGTGCGGCCTCTCTGGCAGCCTTTACGGAGGACTATGGCCACTTTGTCCCCTGCAGCAATGGGAGATGAACCTTAGCAGTCCAGTGGAGACTGTAGTGAGCCTATAAATGTGCCCCTTGGGGCCAAATGCTGAGATGTGTGGGGACAGCAGGTGCTTTGCTACCTGGGCTGAGAGCTGGGAGTCTGGGCTGCCTGGGTTGCTGAAAGGGGAAGGCCTGAGGACGTACTGGAGAGTCTCAGAGCCCCTTCTCCACCTTACCAGATTCCAGGAGAATCAGAGTGTCCTGACAGCCTTCCCCTGGTTTGCAGGTCTCTTTGTAGGTGGCTGTCCACGAGATGGGGAGATCTGATTTGTCCCTGATTTCAGATAGATGCCCCGTGAAGCAGACCTGGGCCCTGGTATCTGGGGAGAGAAAACAGCTGGAGTCGGGGGAGTTGTGTGTCTACCCCCCAGGCCAGGTTTCTAGGCCACCAGGCAAAGCTCCCTATGCCCTCTGCCCCATCTTTAGGACCCTCTTTCACTCTGCCTGTACAGACAGACCTTGGCACCAGGTGGCAGGAGGAGGCTTAATTGGGGATGCATCTGCCCTCCAGATCTCCTCTCAGCCTCACTGCTGGGATCCTTTGGGAATCCATATTCCCTCAGAGAGTCAATGCTGAGTGGCTGTCCAGGGCAAGGAGAGGTTGGGGAGGAGGAATCCTTGGGAAAGGGCCTGGTTACTGTTTCCCCTCCCAGTATACTGAATATATTCGGTATCTATGTCTATGTCCATATCAGCTATGTATGTAGGTGTACCGGCTTGAATTTTCTGATAGAGGATAAGCTTCCCGAGGGCAGGGACAGCTCCTTTTTGGTCCTGTAACCCTAGTGTCTCCCGTAGTACCTGGTGCATAGGAGATATCTCATAAATGCTTGATGACTGATGAGAAGGGGACATCGTGGGCGTGCCAACCTGACAGAGAGGTTGGGATATGTTGGGTGCCTCAGATGTTGGGAGGGACAGGGAATCAAGTGGAGGACCAGGGTCCAGGAAGTTCAGGGTTCATAAGAGAATGACCCCAGGCTAACAAGGGCGTCAGGGGGCCCCTGACTCACCCTGGCTCCCTTCACTCTCACAGCTCTCAGTCAGAGAAATGGGCCCAATCGTCTCTGTCCCATTGAGCAGCTGGCAACCACCATGGGGAACACAGCCCTGAACCCTCAGAGGATGTGAGAGCCCTCCTGAAGAGAGAGACAGAAGGAGGTAAGATGGACTGACCCACGGGCTTCAGATGCATGTGCCCCTAAGAGAAGCAAACCCTGCTCCTGAACCCAGCCTCAGTCAAGAGATCCAGCACTCTAGACAGCAGCCCAAACTGAAGAGGCCAAGCTCTCAGCCCCTACTCCCAGGAGGTCCTCAGACTGTGGTCCTCACCTCCAGAGAGCTGGATGGTTCCGCTGTAGCAGTGAGTTGTTCCTGAGGGGCAGGGGACCAGAGGAGCATCAGAAGGGCAGGAGAAAGGAGACACACAGAGTGGGCACTGCAATGCCCCTTGTGCTGGGGCATCTGGGGAGGGAAAGAGGATGGGGAGTGAGGCCAGAGGTGGGGGCAAGGGAGACCCAGATGTCTGAGATTGGACCAGACCCCTTGTTCCTTCCTCTGTCTGTTCCTCCATGTTTCTTCATCTCCCCCATTGTCTTTCACCATCTCCACTCTCCCCCTGCCTGTATCCATCTGCTCTACCCACCTTTAGTTTCTGTTTGCCCTATAGGACTTCATCTTTCTCCCTTTTTCTCTCAGTCTTCCCTCTCCTGTCCTCACCTGTCTCTGTCTCCTTGCCTCCTTTCCACTCCTTCCCCCATTTCCATCTCTCTCCCTCTGTGATTTCTCAGCCCTCTTTCCTCCCTCCCTCAGATCCAGATACCTGTGGGTTCTGGAGTCCACAAGGGAAGGGTGTTGTCGAGATCATTGCACAGGTCTGAGTGGCAGACTTTGGTGAAGGATGCAATGGTCACCCCAGGGGGTGCTCTGTGCTGAATGTCCTTGGCTTCGTGGGCTTGAGCCCTGGTGCACCCATGACTGATAACTGCACCCACTCTGTTTCCTGCAGGGGGGAAGAGGTTGCTGACGGAAGGGGGTGGGGGCAGGCTGAGCCCAGGTACCTGGAGTTGGGAGGCAGAGGTCCAAGAGCTGGTGGTCTAGGACACCAGGGACACTGGGGAGGTTGGTGGTGGGCTGGGGAGACAGAGGGTCCCAGAGCCCCTTCCTTATTCCAGAGTTCCTTACCTGACTCCAGAATGATAAGGGTCTCCTGACATCCTTCCCCAGCCTCACAGGTCTCAGTAATTCTGACATTCCATGAGATGGGGAAAGCTGATCTGTCATCATCATGGATCAGATAGCCTTTCTTACACACCAGGGCCTCGGTGCCTGGGGAAGAAACAGCTGCCATTATATGCTGTTCTCCTTTTTGGTGACCTCAACCCCAAATCTGGAGCTGGAAGAGGCCCATTTTACAGGGGTGGAAACTGAGGCCCATGGCAGTGAAGTGATATGCTCAGGATTATGCCATGAGTGAGAGACAACCAGGATTCAAACAGCTCCCAGGGCTGCAGTTTCAGGAATCCTTGCAAGGCACCAGCTGAGAGCACCCAATTGCCTCTAGGCATGGTCTTTTTGGAGCTGCTTCTGTCTGGCTCCTTTAACCCTTGGCCACCCAAACCTTCCCCCCTCAGACACCTGGACAGAGGACTGAAGATTCTCTCCACTCTCCAGTGATCCCAGCTCCTGCTCCTTCATTCCCGCCCCCTCCCCCGAAGGACTGAGGCACTGAGATCCCCAGCCTCCATCCTATCAGGTACCAAGGGCCCCCATTCACCAATTCTTGCCTCCCCACAAAACAACCCACTTGCCTGGATCTGCAGCTCTACACTTTTAGGCACCCAGGGGTCTAGCCCTCCTCCCCCTTTCCCCCACAACAAGGACAACACCACTGTCCAGAATCCATCCCTCTCCTCCTCCCCAGATCTTGCAGTTTGGGCTCCTGGTCCTTGACAGAGGATCCAGGTGACCAGTCATCCCCATAACATACAAGGAAGGGCCAAGGCTGCCCCAAGGAGCCAGAACAGCTGTGGTCCCATGGTCTTGGAGCCTTGGTTGCATGGAAGCTGAAGGTTGTTTCTGTCACCTCCCAGGTGATCCAACTTCCCTTCTTATATCCCTCTGACTGAGCGAACATCAGCCTCAGGTTGGGGAAAGAAAACCCATTATTACTCAACCATTGGGTCAAAGGCAAGTCATGCCAGGGTACAGCACCTTAGCAGCCTGGCTTCTAGATCCTTAGGAAAATTTCATCCCCTAACCCTCACACTCCTCAGAGACCCAGGGACCCAGACACAGCCCAGGGATTCAGGGAACCTCATTTACTAGACCCCCACCCCACCCCAGGGTAATCTCTCAGAGTCTCTGATCCTTAATTTCCTCATCAGGTGAGGACATCTCTGCTCCAGACTTGCCTCAGCTCAGAATGTGTCAACCACCTATGAAGACAGCCAGGCTGGGAAATTTCACAACCTTACAATGACTTTAACCTCCCCCCCCCCCCCCCCCGTCTTTAACACAACCTTCTTCCTGCCTAGCCCTCCTTCTGTCCCCATGCTTTCTCTTCCTTTCCCCCAATCCTCTCCTCTTCCCTAGTGATAGTTAAAAGACCAGTGATTTAGGGGCAGAGAATTTTATCAATTACCCATTAGGTGCCAAGCACTGTGTTTAGTATACAAAGAAAGATGGGAAGTGAGTGAATGATTGTACTATGTACTTTTTACAAAGATCCTCTCTTTCCACCTTCACAAGAACCCCTAGAAGTAGGTGCCATTGTTATCCCCATTTTGTAGTTGAGGAGACTGAGGGTCACACAGCCAGTAAGTGTCTGAGGCTGGATTTCAACTCAGGTCTTCCTGACTCCAGGCTCAGTGCTATCCACTCTACCACCAGCTGTCCCCAAAGTAGGGGGCAGGGTTTCCTCTTGAATGGAGGAGACAACATGTGAACATATCCAGACACAAGCAAGATCCAAACATAGGACAGAATAATGCAGTTTAGCGTGGACTAAGCAGTGAAAGACCAGGCCTCAGTGAACCTGGAGCAGGCCTCAGGGGACTGGATCAAGGGGAGCTGTGGAGTTATCTAGACTTCTCAACCCACTAATACCAACAACAACCTAGAAGGTCCATAGGAAAGGTCTATAGGACCTTGGTGAGAGAGGAGCTTGGTCCCAGGCCCAGTCCTTGGCATAGCCCCAGGGCCACAGCTGCTTCCAGAGGTCTCTACCCATAGATGGAGCGGGATTGAGTGGCTGATCAGAGGGGGATTGCAGGGATCTTTTTTTGGTGCTGAGACAGGATTCTCTTGCTTTGCCTGTGCTTGGATCTGGGTCACAGTTCTGGGTGGCAGTCTTGGGGCGAGGAGGAGCCCTGGCATGGTGGAGCTTATAGTGGCAGTGAAGAGAAAATCCTCCTCACAGTTCCAAAGCATAAAAGACTGCTTGTGGTCTCTCATAAACCAGAGCACAGGCCAGGAAAGGAGTAAACACCTCACCTTTGGTCATATCATCTTGGAAGAACTGAAAATTTACAAGTCCCTAGAAGTATCTTAGAAAACAGCTGCACAAAACCCTCCAAACTTGGGACAGTACATTCTCTACACTGAGAGTAGACCCCTACCCTAACAAAGAGTTTAAAAGTTAAGTAATTGGCTGGGAAAAATGAGCAAACTGCACACGAAAAGGCAGACTATAGAATCTTTCTTTGGTGACAAAGAAGATCAAAACATACAACCAGAAGAAGACAACAGAGTCAAAGCTCCTACATCCAAAGCCTCCAAGAAAAATATGACTCCGTCCCAGGCCATGGAAGAGCTGAAAAAGGATTTTGAGAAGTAAGTAGAGAAGTGGAGGAAAAATTGGGGAGAGAAATGAAAATGATACAAGAAAATCATGAAAAAACAAGTCGAGAGCTTGCTAAAGGAGACCTAAAAAATACTGAAGAAAATACACCTTACAAAATAGCCTAACCCAAATGGCAAAAGAGGTTCAAAAAGCCAATGAGGATGAGAATGCCTTAAAAAGCAGAATTAGCCAAATAGGAAAGGAAGTCCAAAAGCTCACTGAAGGAAATACTTCCTTAAAAATTAGAGTGGAGCAAATGAAAGCTAGTGACTTTATGAGAAATCAAGACACTGTAAAACAAAACCAAAAAAGTGAAAAAATAGAAGACAATGTGAAATATCTCATTGGAAAAACAATGGACCTGGAAAATAGATCCAGGAGAGAGAATTTAAAAATTATTGGACTATCTGAAAGCCATGATCAAAAAAAGAGCCTAGACATCGTCTTTCAAGAAATTATCAAAGAAAACTGCCCTTATATTCTAGAACCAGAGGGTAAAATAGAAATTGAAAGAATCTACTGATCACCTCCTGAAAGAAATCCCCAAAGGAAAACTCCTAGGAATATTATAGCCAAATTCCAGAATTCCTAGGTCAAGGAGAAAATATTGCAAGCAACCAAAAAGGAACAATTCAAGTATTGTGGAAGCACAATCAGGATAACCCAAGATTTAGCAGTTTCTACATTCTAGGAAAGTGTTTGCTCAGATGACAAGCTGACAGAGATGGCTCCAGTCTTCAGTGCTGCAGGGAGCTTCCTCACCTGGGACTTCCTATGCCAGTGAAATCACATGTCCTAACCCTGAACTTGACATTTCATGTTTCTACACATTTATCTAAATTGTCTTTAAAATGCTCTTTCTCCTTCTCTGCTTCTCACAATCCCGATCTTCATCCAAGAGTCAGCTGGGGACAACTGCTCCATGAAGCACTAACAGAGGGAGGGACATGTTGCATTCTCCCTGGTAGAGTGGAAGCTCCCTGAGGGTGGGGATGGAATTATTTTCCTTTGTATCCCCAGCACCTGGCACAGTGGCGTGCCTGTAGCAGGTGTTTAATGAATTTTTATGGAATAGTTTAATGTCAGTTATCAAAGTTATCTTCATGTATCATTTCTACTTTCTATTAGTAAGGATCACAGGCTTGAGGCTCCTACTGGGAGGGGGGAACACTGTGAGAATGAGACCACTGAGGAGAGATGGGGGGGTATCACTGTGTAGATGAGACCACTGAGGAGGGGGCAGTATCACTGTATAGATGAGACCTCTGAGGGCAGATGGGGGGCACTGGAAAGATGAGACCATTAAGGGGAGGGGAGAGGTCCTGGATAAGCCCACTTCTGGCAGGTGGGTGTTCTCTGGAGCAAGGGGACAGTTTGCTCATTGGGTTATCTTTTTCTTTTTAAACTGTGATGTAATCTGGATGAGGAAGACCCCATGAGGAAATTTTCTCTGCAGGGGAAAAATTCTAGACTCTTAGGCCAAAGGAGCTAGGCTTAAATCCCACTTCTAATGCAGAATACCAGTGGGACCTTGGGGCATCACCTGACTTTCCTGGGCCTCAGTTTCCTCATCTGACACATGTGGAGTTCAGATTAAATGGCATCAATCCTATAAACCAATGCAGGTCAGCATTAGGGGACAAGATGAAGTCATTTGTCCAGGGTGGGTCAGAGGTAGACTTGTCCCCAGCTCTCTCAGCTCCCTCTCCGCTAAGCTGGGGCCATAGACAGACTGAGGCCCCATTTGGGTAGAGTGAATTGTATTTTGAGTCTCAATGAATATTTCCACATGCTTCCTGCCAACCCCCTTCCAGAATCAAGGTATAGGGGTATGGGGGGGGAAGGTAATTGGGAGTTAGGAGCCATTTGTATTTAAGGTCATTCTCATAGCAAAATGGGTCAGGGGTCTTTCAAGATCTTAATGGGTCACAGAATGCCCAAAGGCCCTCAGAGTGGGGGGAGGAACCCCTACAGGGCCAGGAGCAATCCAGCTCCCATTCCCCACACTTGCACTGTCATAGAAGAAACCCCGTTGGTGGAGGTCTGGTCCTCAAATCACCCTTATCCTTGGCAGACCTCCATCACAGCAATGGGCCCAAAAGCCTGAGTTTTCCCAAGCAGACTGCAGCCTGTGACAGCTTTTGGGGTGCATCCCTGGATGCTCAAGTCTCTTACAATCCCTCCTGTTTCCAGAGAGTCACAGAAAGAGTTCTCATTGTAGAACCGGGGACTTAGGCATGTACATGCCACAGTTGCCACCCCCCCCACCAGGGACCTAGAAGTCCAGAGGCCAGGCAGGAGCATTCAGGAAAAGGTCTGATGGGCAGGGGTCATAAAGAAGTAAAGGCATTGGGGTGGGTAATGCCATCTGGGTCTCAAATGCAGGGAAGGAAGATGGCCAAGGGTGATGACAGCTTCCTCACCCAAACAGTCATCATTGAGGAGCTGTGAACCCCAAACTGGCACTGTTCCTTCAAGAACCATTGGGAGCTGTGCTATGACCTGGTGGGACAATGTTGGAACTGCAAAGGATTTTAGACCCAGAACTTAGAATGAGAGAGGCAGAAGAGATCTCAGAACACAGAATGCCACAACTAGGAGAAACCTTAGAGCATGGGATGTCGGAGCTAGGAGGGGCTTTAGAATAGGGAATGTCCAAGGTGGGAGGGACCTTAGAATATGGGATGTCACAGTTCTATATCAAAGCTGGAAGGGATCTTCAAACCTAGAATGTCTGATCTTAAAGTAACCTTATTACATAGGGTGTCAGAGCTAGGAAAAGACCTTAGAACATGGCATGTCAGAGCCAGGAGGGGCCTTAGAACAAAGAATGTCCAAATACAGTAGGACGTTAATACAGGGAGTGTGGGGACCAGGAAGCACTTTAGGGGCATGAGAATGGGGTTCAATGGACAGTACATTGGCCTTGGAGTCAGAGTAATAGGTTTCAGATCTCAGCTTTGTTGTCGTGTTGCCAAGGTTGTGTCACCTCAGGGAAGCCCCCTGATCTCTCTGGCCCTCATTTTCCTCATCTTTAAAATAAGGGAGTGTGATCAGATTATTCCTGAGTATTTCTGAAGCCCTCTAGCTACAAATCTGTGACTCTAGAATCTAATCCAATTTTACAGGTGGGCAGTCTTTGGCCCAGAGGGGAAGTATCTTGTTCAGGGTTATGCAATGAGTTGGCCAGACCTAGGACCAGAACCCAAGGCTCTGAAACTTCTGCTATACTAATGGCAGTTCCAATCTTCCTCCCCAGGTTC